AAAAATCTTCAAGTCTGGATGAAATTGGAGGTAGTTTGAGGATTAAATTTTTTATGCTTTTTAAGCTCAAAAAAGTGGGCTCGTATTATACACAAATAAATACGGTAATAAGTCTGAGTTTCTAACCATTCTGACATCAGTAATTAATATGATGTCTTAAAGTGACAGGACACTGACAGGTGCTGTGTTACCTGCCTGCAGGGTGAGAGCCCTCTTCATACTGCRTGTCGCTGTGGCCTGGCCAGCCTGACAGCAGAGCTTCTCCAGCAGGGGGCCAACCCCAACCTTCAGACTCAGAAGGCTCTGCCAGATGACGTCCACGGTGTGGCTCTGCAGACTCCGCTCCACATGGCCATCGCTCACAACCACCCTGATGTTGTTTCTGTTATCTTGGAGCAAAAAGGTCTGCAAAGGTTTTGACAGCTTTAAAAATCAGTTACACACTCACAAGAACAAAGGCTCAGGTTTGAGACTTGAACTGCAGATGAATAATGTTACTGGACCAAAWACTGACCTGTATTTGGTCCAGAACCAGGAAATCAAATAGCTCTCATACACAACCTTCTGACCGAACCTTCACACTTGTATTAAATAATTTTTGTTTTACCTGACTTTGTGTTGTATTAAATGTAATTGAATGTCCTAAAATRTATCTACATATTTTGTTTCTTATTGTCTTGCAGCCAATGCACTTCATGCCATCAACAATTTGCAGATCATTCCAGACTTCAGTCTGAAAGACTCGATGGACCAGACGGTCCTGGGTTTGGCCCTGTGGACAGGTATTTAACAAAACGGACAGATGTAGTTCAACACTTTTCTCTTTCTGCAATGTCAAGATGTATTTTTCAACTACAACCTGCCAGGTATGCACACCATAGCAGCTCAGCTACTGGGATCAGGAGCGTCTATCAATGACACTATGTCCAACGGACAGACCCTTCTGCACATGGCCATCCAAAGACAGGACAGCAAGAGTGCACTTTTTCTGCTCGAACACCAGGCAGACATCAATGTCAGGTAACTTTATTGTCACTGCACGTCACAAGTACAAAGCAATGAAACGCAGTTTGCATCCATCCAGAGTGCTTGGCAAGAAATATAAATATATACATTACAAATGTGCAGTAAATTGTGTGAATATGCTATAATATCRGGAATCTATTCAAGTTATAAAGTATTACATTTATTTAGTTTCTTTTAGTTATTTACATTTTAATAAACTAAAATAAGCATTTCAGTGTGACACATTTAATCATGTAGCTCCATGCAAAAATAAAATTCCTATTCTTGTGATGGGTTCATGTCAGAACATCACAAAGTTCTCTGTAGTCTTGTATTGTAGATGAGCCTAGCTGTGAAGTTCAGACCACAGGTCTGATGCCTCTTGGAGACTATTAAAGGTCCACCAGTCAGAAAAAACGCTCTACTTTAGGCAAAAATAATAATATTTCCTCCCAGTATGACCTGTGCAAACCTTGTGTTTCGCCGTTCACACAGCACTTAAGCCGGGTTCCCACCAGACAYGTTTGGAGCATCCAAAATGCTCCTGCCGCATGCGTTTGGCTGCTTGTCAACAGCTGTCCGTTCACACCGAACGTGTCTGCAAATGCGCAATGGGAGGAGCGTCTATTCTTTTTCCGGTCGGTTGACGTTTGAAATAAAGACAAAATAAATAAAATAGCTTTGCTTTATTTACTAAAGAACAAGCAGATAATTTAGAGACGCTCTGACGGACTTTTTTTTTTAGACTGGGACCAGACTGTCTTTAATGACGAGTGAAATAAAGACAAAATAAATAAAATAGCTTTGCTTTATTTACTAAAGAGCAAGCGAACGTTGCGCATAGCAGATAATTACTTCACCAGATAATTTAGAGGCGCTCTGACGGACTTTATTTTATTTTTTATTTTTTTAGACCGGGACCAGACTGTCTTTAATGACGAGTGAAATAAAGACAAAATAAATAAAATGGCTTTGCTTTATTTACTAAAGAGCAAGCGAACGTTGCGCATAGCAGATAATTACTTCACCAGATAATTTAGAGGCGCTCTGACGGACTTTATTTTATTTTTTATTTTTTTAGACCGGGACCAGACTGTCTTTAATGACGAGTGAAATAAAGAYAAAATAAATAAAAATAGCTTTGCTTTATTTACTAAAGAACAAGCAGATAATTTAGAGGCGGTTTAGTTTCGCCACTCCAGGAGCTGAGGGAACCAAAGTTCAATTTGTTGAACTTTAGCTGCATGTGTGGAAAATGCTCTGCTGCGTGTTGCGCGCTGCTCTGAACTGCCAAAACACGCCACAACACGCTGCGCTGCTTGTGGATGCACGGCCACCATAGACTTTGCATGTAAACTGGCTGCTTTGGCTGCTCCAAACACGTTTTGTGTGTACCCGGCTTCAATTATCTCACTACACAGCTAACAGCTAACATGTACAAATCAATCTATACAGACTAATCAGTTCTTCAAATCACATTCATGCACTGGTGGGACACATCAGAGGWAGTGAGGGTTCTGTGACTTGCCCAGGGACACTTTGACAAATGACTGCATATCAGGGAATTGAACCGCCAACTCTGGTTAGAGGATAACTCCCTTAAGCACTCAGCCACAGCTGGCCCTCATCTCTATCAGTGTGTGAATAAAAGGGTGAATGTCTGTAGTGCAAAGTGATTTAAAGTCTGTAGGGACTTGGTAAAGKGCTAGACAAGTTCATTTACTATTTACAGTGAGCTCACACCAGAGTGCCTACTCAGACTCTGGTACCAAAAACAAAGTATAGTAGCACCCATAAACCAGGTCCTGCTGACAACAGGTAGTGAAGAAATGGACATTTGGTGTATATATTTAGTTTAGACCATCCTTAGATCATAGTTTATGGTCTAAGGATGAAAATCCATAAATATAAATTCATACARTGGATGTTATGAATCAGTAAGCAAATATTTGTCTGTGATTCGTGTAGTGTTTTTGTTTTATTTATTTATCTTTTTTGTACTACTAGAACCCAGGAAGGACAAACAGCACTACAGTTGGCCATAAGTAACCAGCTGCCACTGGTGGTAGATGCCATTTGCACACGAGGGGCTGATATGTCAGTGATGGATGACAAAGGGGACCCTCCACTGTGGCTGGCCCTTGAGAATGGTCTGGAAGATATTGCATCAACATTGGTAAGAGAAAAACCACTGTGAGAAACTCCAATCATCTTCAAACTTATGCTTCTGTATTAAAGTTAAACTTTTTTTATTCAGTCTTTGCTTTGGATATGATTTTAAAATCGTTTATGTTAACTAACAATACCAACATTTTTACAAGTGCTCACAGACAATACCAGTGTTGATACCAGTATTCCTCTGAATGTGTTACAGTTTATATTTCAAGTGAAAAGTTAGTCACTTCCATGTTTAAGAAACCTGTACAAGTAAAATGAAAATCTTATTTGTTGTCTTTTATTTTTTATGCTGTATATTTGATTTTATCCAGTCAGAGCTCTTAAAGGGCTGTAGGCCTATAAGGAAGGAGATCCACCTTCCTAATAAAAGAAATGTATTTTTAAAATCAACAGTTTTTGTTACTCTGTATCCACAAGTACCCACTTCACTACATGCAACTGGATTAAAGTTTTAAATGGATGCAACGTCTGTTCATCATATCAGATATATTGGAATGTTAGTTCACTAAATAAATTTATTAATCTTACACAAAACTAGAAAAGAATTATTGCCAAATAATTTACAGGATGTTTTTGTATTAAGATTCACTGATGAGCATAAAAGGATTTTTTTATTTATTAAAGCTGGAGTGCTCTTCAAATAGACTTCACAATAAATAGTTTTTCTAAGATTATAACCATGACCTGTACGTCTCCAGGACTGTGAGGGGAGCAGGTGGGATCAAAGCTGACCCTTCTCACCCTGCAGCCTGTTCACCCCACTCCCCTCAGGCAGAAGGTTACGGTCCATTCGGACCAGAACATCCCTCCTGTAAGAGTGAGGTTAAAGTGAATTAAGCTTCTCCCACATCTCTCATACACAAGGTTATGAGGAAACTTTTACCAAGGTATTTCTCATTAC